ATATAATCTAAATCTCATCATCTTGAATATGGGAAGGACCTTTTAACTATCATACCAATGGAATTAAACTAACAGAATTGACAATAAATAACAATTACGGACAAATGATAAAATCCAAAAAGAGCCCTTTCTGTGTCTCTGTCTCTTTCTTTGTCCTCCACTATTCTTTATTCTGCTTTTTCCTCCCCTACCTACATTAGGATAACTTAGGGGGAAGCCTACTACCATACTGTAAGAAACCACTTAGAGAAGCTAAAGCCCTTGCCTGTTTAAGTGTTAAGTTCTGGGTATGGAACTCACATCCAAGCCTCGAGCCACCTGGGTGCTGTTGAGTAGAGACAGCCTGTGGGGCATCTTGAACAGATTACAAGCCATGACCCAACTCAACATTGGTTTCTCTGGTTAAGTTTTGAGTGGATATTTTAGGTACTATTAGCTAATCAACATAGACAATGTTGATTAGACATTGACATGGCCAATGATATTGATTGCAGTCCAAAATAAGCAGAATCTAAAAGTATAATACTAGTTTTGACCAGCAGGCAGTAGTTAGGACCTAAAGGAAGCCTAATAACACCATTGTGGGCTCTTTTTGACAAACCAAAGAGAAAATGAAGACAATCTCAAAAATCCAAGTAAATGGAATCCTTTAATTGACTTATGGCAATCTAGTAATAAAAGAAGTGTTAAATGTGTCAAGTAGAAAAAAATGAATCAAATGAACTAACTGGCTGAACTAGAGAATTATGGGCAAATGGTGAAGGTTCCTTGGCATGTTTATAATGAAATATGAGAGAAATGGGGAAATAATTGTTAAATACAAATTTAAGCCAGAATTTTCTGGGACTGAAATAAAACTTTCTCATTCTTTTATTTCAGTTCCAAAGGTCAGGAAAGTCTTAAGAGCAAAGACAAACTCTACATGCACTATAAGATGCTTCAAGACTTCAGAAATATCTTTCATGGAGTCTCAGGGAGCCACTCAATCAGAGAACAGCTTTTCCAGACAAGCAAGTGCTTTGTAAGCGCCATGTCCCAAAGCTGACTGAGACAGAAAGTCTGAAATAGAGAAACCTTTTCTATAGATGTGGCTATTTGTCTGTTACAGTTGATTATACAGTAATTCACAGAAAGTTCACAATGTGTAAAAAGAATTACATCACTTCAACTGAAGAAATAAAGACGATACACAATGTAAATGAGCCCTTGAATCTCCAAACTGGTAGTATTAAAGCAATCTTGGGGAAAGATATTTTTATACATTACTCGCTGGGTAAAACTGAGGCTAATAGGCAAGGTTGAGAATGTTAGAGAGAGAGTAATTTCTGGGCAACAAGGCTTGTTCTCTTTCAGAAACCAGCATCCTACATTTTTTTTCCTGGATTTCAACATCACTGGTGAACAGGAGGCACTGCATGCCTTGATGTTTTCTCTTCTTTGCACATAAACGGCCATAGCTAACAGTTGCCTGTTCTACCACTGAATGTTGGGTAGGCAATTGACATAACTTTCCTCCTCAGTTCATAAACTGTCAGAGTTTAAGAAATTCTTCACAATTTCCTTAAGAGAGTTCACCTAATGTGCCTTCATTAACAACTAGAAATGATTTGATTACTCAGAAACTGTCTTAAAATGATTCTTTAAAAATTATAGACATACTAGCCACAAACCTGAGATGAGATAGATCATAAGCCCCAGGGGAAAACTCAAGGGACATAGCAATAAAACAACTCCTAATGACACATTGCTATACACATAACGTCTAACCTGCAGAGAAACTGCTTTCAGTAGACAATAATTAACAAAGAGATGAACAGCAGGGCAATGTGCAGAGAATGAGAGACTTTGGAGTACTCAGTCTTTTCTTAATATAAGTTTTTATTTATTACAATTTATTCACTTTGTATCCCAGCTGTAGCCCCACCCTCATTCCCTCCCAATCCTGCCCTCTCTCCTTCTTCTCCTCCCATGTCCTTTCCCCAGTCCACTGATAGTGGAGGACCTCCTCCCCTTCCATCTGACCCTAGCCTATCAGGTCTCATCAGGACTGTCTTTTATATAGTCTTCCTCTATGGCCTGGTCAGGCTGCTCCCCCATCAGGAGAGGTGATCAAGGAGCCAGTCACTGAGTTCATGTCAGAGATAGCCCCTGCTCCCCTTATTAGGGAGCCCATTTGTAGGAGTACTCAGTCTTAATGGGATATATTCACCAAACCCCTCATTTCAGTGTTCAAGGGTCTACATGGAAGAAGTAGAAAGACTCCAAGAGCAAGAGGTGGTGAATGACACTAAGGAAACTGTGTCTTCCATGCACAACAGGACATATACACATCTGATACTGTGACAGCATGTACAAAAACTACACAACTTCAAGCCAGACACAATCCCAGCTATGAGAATAGGACATTAGCACAAAGTCCTACACCTAACCAAGAAGGTGTTTTCAAGTGAGACCTGCTAAAAAAAAATGAACACAAGTTTTCTCCAATGGAATATCACTCGGTATATCAACTACAACCCAAGGAAAGCAGTACACTCGGGAATAGTTGGCCAACACAAAGGAGACTCCTTGTGATTGTGCGCACTTTACCTTTATGTGTGAGAGAGAAAAAGCATGAAGTTGGGTGATTCAAAGGGTGGGGAATATCACAGAGGAGTAGGGAACAGGTTAGAATATGATTGTTTCAAAGGTGGAATAGCATTAACATATGCTTACAGTATTAAGTGATAATTCATCTCGCTTCTAATTCATCTAGTCAGAATCATTGAGAAAAATTATGACAAACACTGCTAAGAATTTAGGCTTGGACGGAATTCTTATACACTGCTTGTGAAAATATCAGTCCCACCATTATGCAAATCAGAACTGCCATAAAATTCAGCCATACCTCTCAGATATATATACCTCAGCTATATATACCATATATATATATATATATATATATATATATATATATATATATATATACCTCATATATATATCTGAGAGGTATGGCTGGATTTTATGGCAGTTCTGATTTATCAGAGGCTCTCCAAGAAAATACATCAAGTGAAATCTACACTTCTTTTTCTAGCAGTGTACATAACATCAAAATTAATGGGATAAGCCTAGGTATCTGTTAATAAGAGAAAGGATAGAAAAGATGTGATACATATACACAACAGAGTTTTATTTGGCTATGAAGAAGAATGAAATTCTGTTGTTACTGGGAAACGAATGCAACTGGAGATCATTATATGAAGCAAAAGGATGTATTCTTGAGATGAGACTTGAGGTTCTTAGGAGAGATTAATGTAGTTGGATATGAGAATTATTGTTTTCAGAAGAGAATTTGTTCCTGGTGGTATTTTCCAAAATTGGAAGTTCTAAATATGACTGACCCCAAGAATTTTTCTTACAGTGTGACATTAGCATTTTTCCATTAAGAGATGAGATCATTTTCTACTACCTGGAATCAGGTATGCTTCCATATTTACCCACACAAGTAGAATTAATAGTGACACTGTGACTCCCAGGCTGGATCACAGAGGCAATGTTTATGATTGATGTTTTGTTTATCTCTGTCTCCTTGCAAGCAAATGTTTGGGGAAGAAGCCTGCTCAGCTTAAGAAGAAATACAATGTGAAGGTGATCTGTGGATAGGAAAAGAAGGCATGTAGTTATCACTGGCATGTAGTCTATGATCAAGAAATGCTTTTGGATGCTTACAGTCTTCATATGAAGATGGTGTACATATATGTGCCTATATGTGCTATGTTCACATAAGCATCTATATTTTAAATTATGCTTATAGAAAAGCTAGCCATTCTCAAAACTTATTCAAATTTTAGATTCATAAGCAAAATAACAATTCAGAGGAATTACAATGAGGTACTAGGGCACCCAAAGGCAAACGACACTGAATGTTTATTTTACAATCTCTTGAAACTAATGTACTAATGTTTTACCTCGTGGCTACAAACCAGGGTCATATGTGCCAAACACTGGCTTTTATTCCCCAGATGCTGAAGGTCCATGTTGGGTTCAAGAAGACATGGGGATCCATGCATACACTTATGCCTGAAGGCACACGTGCTGTGCATGGGCACACTCCCACAGACAAACACATACATGCAGATAATGACCATCTCAGTCTTTGTCATTGGAATGCTATCCATCCATCCATCCACACTGTAACAAAGCCTTCACTCAAGAAAACAGCCTCCAAAATTGTCTTTCTATGTACTTCTGTATTTCTACCTATAGATTTTACCCTCACCTTCCAGCTTTAACGTATGTGTTTCTGCATGCATGTGTGTGTGTGCATGCAGGTGTGTGTGTGTGCCCTAGAGGTTAGCCTTTAATGGAGCTCTGCAGGATGCTTTCCATGTTATTTCTTGAAACAGACTCTCCCGTTGATCAGGAACTTGCCTATTGAACTAGGTTGTCTGGTCTCTGAGGCTCCAGGGTCCTCCTGCTTCTGCTTCACCAGCACCGCTAGTACAGGCACCCATCAGCATGCTCACATTTTTTGTGCAATTCTGAGAACTGAACTTATGTACCCATTCTTGTACCATGTCCTCTTTACTGATGAGATACCTCCTTAGTCCCTGGAGTTGAGAATAGTTAAGCAACTGGTGTGAAACCCTAATCAGAGCCATTGATGAAAATTTTTATTGCATCTACATTCATTCATATTTTGCAGTGGAAATCCCCTTTCATGGCTTGTGTTGATATGCTTATAACTGAACTTTGCTTCTTTGTTATTCAGCTCAACCCCTGCTCACCTTTCAACTTCTCTTGTCTTTCAATTACAATTAGTGTATACCAGCATTCCTATGTGCTTTTTGTTTTAGTTTCATATAGTAAAGTTTTAGAGGTTCAACTCTACCTTACTGAAGCATTCCATTATTGTCAAAATAAGAGGTTATTTCCTATCCTTCATGACTATGATGCCACTACACAGTCAAGTATGCACTGTAAGGGTATCTTCTTTCTTTCTTTCTTTTTTTTTTTTTTTCAGTGTAGGCCACAAGATAGTAATGAACCATACTAGGTGATATAGCCCACTGTGGCGTGTGGTCTTACTCATTTTGCCAAATAGCAGGAAATGGGTGTCTTCTTGTAATGGACAATGTCATTAATACTGTCTAGAACTAATGACTGCAAAATACATTGATATTTTTATTCTATGAAGTGTTCTGCTCTCATATTCACTGCTTCCTTAATTACACAAGGAAAAACAGTTATTTTATTCTTGTAAAGACTGAATATATATGTTTTTAATATTTTCCATTTAATAAATTAAAAATATATTTATTGTCTTGATCAACAGTTCTTTCATGATAATAATGGAATTTTCTTCATTTATTTATTATTTTTATGGCTTAAAATATTTATGTGTTGTTTGTCTTTTCTAATTATTTATTCTTACTAAAAATGATAGATCCCAGTAAAGCTAGTGTTTGAAGACAAAATCTCTAGACTGTAGGAAAGTCATGTCACAAGGAAACTCATAGAGCTGTGGTCTCTTGATGTCATAATGCTATAAACATTTAAGTGAATGTTCCTCAAGAATAATCCTTAGGAGTATAGCTGGGTGATAGAGTGCTTGTCCAGCATACACAAGGCACATGTTCCACACAAAGTAATGAAAAATGTCTTGATGTGAATATTATTATTTCTTTGTTAATTCATACTATATCATGATTGTTCATGCAGGAGCAAACAGAGCCACATCTTTGGCTCCTATAGTTTACAAGTGGAACTTCAGCGCTTTTGGTAAGATGGCCATTTTTTTACTATGTTAATCCTGCCAAGCCATGAGCATGGGAAACCTTTCCATCTTCTCATATCTTCTTCTAATTCTTTCTTCAGAGACTGGAAATTTTTTTCATACACCTCTTTGACTTGCTTGGTTAGGTTCATACCAAGGTACTTTATGTCCTTTGTGGCTATTGTGAAGGGTGTTGTTTCCCTAATTTCTTTCTCGGCCCTTTTGTCCTTTGTATACAGCAAGGCTACTCATTTTTTTGAGTTAATTTTGTATTCATCCACTTTGCTGAAGATGTTAGTCAGCTGTAGGAGTTCCCTGGTAGAGTTTTGGGGTCACTCAGGTATACTATCATATCATCTGCAAATAGTGATACTTTAACTTCTTCTTTTCCAATTTGTATCCCCTTGATCTCCTTCAATTGTCTTATTGCTCTAGCTAGGACATCAAGAACAATGTTGAAAAGATATATAGAGAGTAGACAGCCTTGCCTTGTCCCGGATTTCAGTGGGAATGATTTAAGTTTCTCTCCATTGAGTTTGAAGTTGGCTATAGGCTTGCTTTACATCGCCTTTACTATGTTCAGGTATGTGCCTTGTATCCCCGATCTCTCCAATACTTTATACATGAATGGATTTTGGATTTTTTCAAATGCCTTTTCAGTATCTAAGGAGATGATCATGTGGTTTTTCTTCTTTAGTTTGTTTATGTGGTGGATCACATTGATGGATTTCCGTATATTGAACCACTCCTGCATGCCTAGAATGAAGCCTACTTGGTCGTAGTGGATGATGTCTTTGATGTGTTCTTGGATTCAGTTTGCAAGCATTTTGTTGAGTATTTTTGCATCAATGTTCATGAGGGAGATTGGCCTGAAATTCTGTTTCTTTGTTGGGTCTTTGTGAGGTTTAAGTACCAAGGTGACTGTGGCATCATAGAATGAGTTTGGTAGTGTTCCTTCTGTTTCTATGTTGTGGAATAGTTTGAAGAGTATTGGTGTTAGCTCTTTTTTGTAGGTCTAGTAGAATTTGGCACTGAAACCATCTGGCCCTGGGCTTTTTTGCATGGTAGACTTTTGATGGCAGCTTCTATTTCCTTAGGGGATATAGGACTATTTAATTGGTTTACCTGTCTTGATTCAGCTTTGGCATGTAGAATCGGTCAAGAAAATTGTCCATTTCATTTAGATTTTCAAATTTTGTGGCATATAGACTTTGGAAGTAAGACCTAATTATTGTTTGGATTTCTTCAGTGTCTGTGGTTATGTCCCCCTTTTCATTTTGGATTTTGTTGATTTGGATAGTTTCTGTCTGCCTTTTATTTAGTTTGGCTATGGGTTTGTCTATCTTGTTGATTTTCTCAAAGAACCAGCTCTTGGTTTGATTGATTTTTGAATTGTTTTATTTGTTTTTTTTTTTTTTTCTAATTTTTTTATTTCAGCCCTGAGTTTGATTATTTCCAGCCATCTATTCCTCTTTGGTGTGTCTGCTTCTTTTTTTGCTAGGGCTTTTAAGTGAGCCATTAAGTTGCTTGCATGAGATGTTTCGAATTTCTTTTTGAAGGCACTTAGTGCTATGAACTTTCCTCTTAGCACTGCTTTCATTGTGTCCCATAAGTTTGGGTATGTTGTGCCTTCATTTTCATTGAATTCTAGGAAGTCTTTAATTTCTTTCTTTATTTCTTCTCTAACCCAGCTGTCATTTAGAAACAAGTTGTTCAATTTCCATGTGTGTGTAGGCCTTTTGCTATTTTTGTCATTGAGGTTCAGTTTTAGTCCATGGTGATCAGATAGGATACAAGGGATTATTTCAATCTTCTTGTATCTGTTGAGGCTTGCTTTGTGACCAACTATATGATCTATTTTGGAGAAGGTTCCATGAGGTGCTGAGAAGAAGGTAAATTCTTTTGACTTTGGGTGAAAGGTTCTGTAGATGTCTGTGAGGTCCATTTGATTCATGACCTCTGTCAGAGTTATTGTTTCTTATTTAATTTCTGTTTTGTTGACCTGTTCTTTGTTGAGAGTGGGGTGTTGAGGTCTCCCACTATTAATTTGTGGGGTTCTATGTGTTATTTAAGTTTTATTAAAGTTTCTTTTACAAATGTGGGTGCCCTTGCATTTGTGGCATAGATGTTCAGGACTGTGATATCTTCCTGGTGGATTTTTTCCCTTGATGAGTATGAAGTGTCCTTCCTCATCTCGTTTTATTAATTTTGGTTGAAAGTCTATTTTATCAGATATTAGGATGGCTACTCCTGCTTGCTTCTTGGGTCCATTTGCTTGGAAAACTGTCTTCCAACCTTTTACCCTCAGGTAATGTCTATCTTTGTGATTTAAGTGTGTTTCTTGTATGCAACAGATTGTTGGGTCTTGTTTACGCATCCATTCTGTTAGTCTGTGTCTTTTTATCAGAGAATTGAGTCCATTGATGTTGAGGGAGATTAATGACCAGTGACTGTTAGATCCTTTGATATTGATGTTGGCCATGGTAGTGTGTTGTGTTTGGCTACTTTTGTTTTGCTGTAGTGAGGTTATTTATTTCCTATGATTTCTTAAAAGTAGTTAGTTTTCTTGGGTTGCATTTTTTCTTCTAGTATATTCTGTAATGCTGGATTTGTGTTTAGGTATTGTTGATTTTTTTGTTTGTTTGTTTGTTTGTTGTTGAATATCTTTTTTTCTCCGTCTATGAGGACTGAGAGTTTTGCTGGGCAGTAGCCTAGGCTGACATCTGTGTTCTCTTAGGCTCTGCATGATATCCGTCCAGGCTTTTCTGGCTTTCATAGTTTCTGTTGAGAAGTCAGGTGTGATTCTGATGGGTTTGCCATTATATGTTACTTGGCTTTTTTCCCTTGCAGCTTTTAGTATTTTTTCTTTGTTCTGTATACTTATTGTTTTGATTATTATGTGACTGGAGGATTTTCTTTTCTGGTCTAATTTATTAGGTGTTCTGTAGGCCTCTTGTAGGCTTCCTCTTTAAGTTGGGGAAATTTTCTTCAATGATTTTGTTGAGAATATTTTCCGGGCCTTTAAGGAGTGAATCTTCTTTTGCCTCTATTCCTATTATTCTTAGGTTTCGTCTTTTTATGTTGTCTTGTATTTCTTGGATGGTTTGTGTCAGGAATTTTTTAGATTTATTATTTTCTTTGACAGATACATTGATTCTTTCATTGTATCTTCCACACCTGATATCCTTTCTTCCATCTCTTGTAGTCTGTTGGTTATGCTTATCTCTGTATTTCCTGTTTTCTTTCCTAGGTTCTCCCACTTCGTGATTTCCTCTGTTTGTGTTTTCTTTAATTCTTCCAATTCTATCTTCAGATCTTGAACTGTTTTGTTGATTTCCTTCACCTGTCTGACTGTATTTTCCTGTTTTTCCTTCAATTCCTTCAGCTGTTTGTTTGAACGTTCCTTTGTTTCCTTTATTTCTTTCAGTGACAGAGACTGTTTGGCTGCATCTTCCTATATTTCTTTACGGATGACCATAATCTGTTTTATTATATCTTCCCCTAATTCTTTACGCATTTTATTTACTTCTTCCATTAACCTCTTCATTAGCATAGATGTTAGGTCATCTTCTTGAATTTCACTTATGTTAGAGTGTGCAGGGCTACTTGCCCCTGAATAACTGGGTTCTGGGGATGCCATGTTGTTTTGCCTTTTGTTGGTTGTGCTTTTTCACTGGCCTCTACCCATCTCTCTGTCTCAGGTGTTGTCTGTTAATTTCTGTTGCCTGCTGAGTCCTGAGGTGGGGAGAATCCACTTGGCGGGGTTCTGAAGTTCTCCTCTGCTTTTTGGGTATGGTCAACTGAATAGTGGTGCTTCTCAGGAATTGTCACAGTTCACTTCAGGTGTATGGACCTTTATGATAACTGTGGTATTCAGGAAGGCTCTCCTCTCATCAGGAGAGGTCCTGGTGATGGCTGTCCTGCTGCTGGGTTTCTTGCTCTGAATTTAGTGAGCAGCAGCTGTTGCTCTTAAGGTGTAATTGTTGGGTGCAGCCCTCTTGAAGTACCAGGGATTCCCACAGTTTTTTCAGTTTAGCTAGGGATAACTGATTGATCCTTGGCACAGTATCTGAGGGCTGCTGTACTGGCTCTCTGGCTTTTGTAGGTCTGAGGATGCAGCTGTGTGCCCCAGTACCCTAGCGGTACTCAATAATGGTGGGTGAGCACAGCACTCCTGCCTGCAGTAGAAGGCTAAAGCCTAGAGTCTGCATGAATCCAGAAAGACTTTTGGTGCTCGGTCCTGAGCATTAGACCTGCTGATCCCCCCGCTGTGGGGTTTCTTCCTGACAGGGACACCAGTCTTTGCTTTGGGGACCGCCGTTCTGTCTGGGATGGTGAGTAGAACCCGCAGG